TTAACATAAGAATGAGTTTGTTGATAAACATTGAGTATCGCTGTATTCATGGCATGTATTTTTCTTAGAATATTTCCCTTATGGCGTCTGGTTTGCCTGATCTGTTAACCGCCTTTCATGTGGAGCTGAAGCACGATGTTCAAATTGCAAAGAAAACACTCCACGAGCTGAGCAGCTACAAGAATCACGTTAGTATACTTTTGAAATAGGAACGAATTTTATATAATATGTGGTATATTGCGTGCTCTTTGATTGATTCAATCTTACGCGCGTTCGGATTGGTCAGTTGCGWAGCCATTCAGTGCGCGTGCGCTCTGTTATCCTTCCTTTCGACATGGTGGAAACTAACGGTAAACAASTGTGAGCTACGTCAGTGTTTTTAAAGAAAGAGTTGTGTAAAAAAGATAAATTTAACAACGTAAAAAAGGTGAAACAACTTACTGATCCTCAAGCATGTTAAGGCTGGGTATTTTGCCACGATATTCTAAAAAAAAATTATTGAACTAAACTAAACTCACAATCTTTGGTTTTGAGGCATAAATGATAAGTTGATGTCAAAAATATTTTAAGCATGGTTTAGTCGATTTCCGGTGGTCACGTGACCATAAGGCAAGCAAAATACGTATTTTAAAATGGGGTGGTSAATATGATATAAAACAAAAAAATCTTTCTATAGAGTTTTGACACTTATCAGCCTTAACATGAATCTGTTTGGAATGGTTGTCTACCATTTTTATTATAAGAGATATTGAGCAAAATAGGTCACGTGACCTGGTCAAAATTYGAAAAAAAAATATTTTGTACCTAACTGTTCCATGATATCCAACCATTCCAARCAGTTTCTTATAGAGACCAATTTACTGAACAAATCCACTCAAAAATATTTTGGTTTCACATTAATTTCACCACCCCATTTTGAAAAACATATTTTGAATGCATTAGGGTGACGTCACCACCGGAAGTCGAATTTTTCTTCTTAAAATTTTTAAGGAACCTAAATTACACTTAAAGATCAAATTTGAATTCTATAAGGTTAAAACGACACGAGTTATTAAAGGAATCRTGCTTTTCTAATATCAACCAGGAGACCCAGCCTTAACATGCTTGAGGACGTTAATCCTTTGTCGAAATAGAGAAACTTCACAAACGTCAGTAAGTTGTTTCACCTACTTTTTTACGGTGTTAAATTCTTTCTTTCGGCAACAGTTTTTTTTAGTTTTCAATTAGACGGTTTCGTCTCATGTAATTTCCTATCTTGATATTTTTGTGTTTTGATATGAAGGTGGGCAGTTCTGGGACKTTTGTCCGTGGTAACGACATCAACCAGAAGACCGGACGCTACATGGCTCGTTATACCGGWATATACCAGTTTTTATGCAGTCTTCACATCATGAGAGCCCGCGATGCTCACCTCAGACCACGTGACAATATCAAAATYAGTATCTGTATCAACTCTCTTTGTGATCTGAACACGTGAGTATAATTATACAAAATATCCAACTTGTCTCCAGGGCTATCTCGGCGCGCCGACTATAATTCAAGATGGCGGCCGTAGATGGAGATGGGTTACCTTTATCAATTATAATCGCAAACCATTGTTTGATTCGATGGGATTAGGAAGATATATACACTCTGCCACTTTGGGCAAATGGCATGGTATTTCAATGTTTATGAAAAACATCCTAAACGTTTAAGCTCTGCAAGATTCTGCTGTGGAAGCATTTGGTCTTACTATATCTCATGCCTTATCTTTTTAGGTCTCTGTTAACAATCACAGGCTTGAATAGTAAYAGTAAGCTATTTACCACATCAGTGAATGGTGTTCTTGCTCTTAAGGTATAACATAAACATATAATACACGACTTTCAAAAATGGCGGGATTTCACGACCTCCAATATCGAGGTGGACTAGTGACGAATCATGAAAACGAGACCTTAAAGGCCTTACGTCTAAAAATCACTAGGAAGATCGCATGTATGTAATTTCCTAAAGAAGTTTGGAAGATGTATTGGTATGTTATTTATAACAAAACACCCTTGCACGGCACCATCGAAGTTTACTATACGAAGGGTGGCCTTTGAGACCTCGATTTAGTGCTTCATCCCCAGTGCCCTGGTCGACGACCGTGACATATTGCGCCGTTTTTGAAAGTCGTGAATTACGTACACGAGTGTGTCATTTGACCCAAACTCCTCACTTGCTTGCCTGCCTGCAATCTCGAGCCCAGAGTTYTCACGGCTAATGCCGTCAGCGGTCTCTCTCGCATTACATACCGCTGGATGGCAAAAAGTGCGGGCTCTGGGTACGAGATTGGCCTGCCTTCCCTATCATCAAAAAATGCGTTATGAGACATCGCTGTCCTTCTCTACAGGCTGGYCAGTACGTTTCTGTTTTCGCTGAAAACAGCTCAGGAAATCCTATCACGATTACAAGCAAGTCGTCGTTTACGGGCATTCTGATTGGTGCTTAGGCGATATAAGTAGTCCATAATAGTATCGTCTAGAATATCATTGGATCGGTTAAATAGTGCCGAAGAGACTGTAGATAATAAGAGAGTCAATATAAGGACACCACAAGTATTTTGACAATGTCTGCAAAGAATGCTAACATATGTAATAAGATTGTAGATAAAACATCGAAAGACTGTGTCATGTTGAATAAGTTATGACTTTAGAGCAATGCTTGCGCGTTTGAGCTGTCCCACTTGAAATTGCTCAACTAGAAAGCCAAGAAGATGTATTGTAAATCGTAAAGAGTTTTTAGTTACGATTCTTGCCTGAACGTTTGAGCTGTCCCACTGCCGCAAATCTCTTAACTAGGACAACTAGCAAGCGAACAAACGTATTGTAAATCGTAAACAGTTTAAATTTACGAAAGCCTGCTCTTTGGATAGTAAATAATGTTAAAGTAAACACATCGATGTCCATCAATAGTTGTGAAATAATAAATAAATAGATAAAAAAATGAAATGATAGGATAATCTTGAGGTAGCTTCTCTTCACAGCCGAACCTCTCCGTGTCGTTATGCCGAGCAAAAGCTGTGGTACTAATGAGAGAAATAAAATCAGAGAACAAGGATTGGAGAGCAGTGGGACATTTTAGAAAACTAAGAAAAAAAGAAATCTCATTATTTCAATATACTCTTGAAGATCCGTGTAAGCGCTCTCTGAGCGTCTAGTATACTACATTATACAGACAAACGGTAGTAGATATGGACCAAATTTCGAATGTTCATTAGTTCATTAGTGRTAAAACCACAGTCAAATGACTCCAAAAATTCATAACTATCTTTATTTATTTATTTTCCACTTTCAATTTTTGACACAACGTCCTAATTAATTTTAAAATTTCTATCTTCTTCCTCGTTCATTTAAAAATAGAAATTAATGCGAATTYATATAAATAAACTATTCTGAGGCGTTTCAATAAGCAATCTACAAATGAAAAACAAGTGTACAAGAACTGGTTATCAACCCATCTAACGAAATCATGGAGATCATTGTGAAAGYTATTCGTGTTCGGGCTACCTTTGTTTTTCTAACCTGCAGTACACAGGCAGCCCAACTTTGCAACGAGCTTTATATTCACCTTGATTCTAATATAAAACTAAATAAAGAAATTTTCTTTCGAAAGCAACCTCATCCTAATGGCTTCTATTCGTTATTTACTACATGGAAGACCTTCGAGCGACGCCATAGTTGTGCAACAACATCAACAACAACAACAACAAATATCGAGAAGATAGACTCTGTGGACCACGAAGTTGCCCGAGGAGGACTGTTGATGTAATTGCACCGGGGAGAATCTACGTAGCACTCAGTTGATGTAATATATTCATAAAGATATAATACAAAACACATAATACAATAGAACGAGAAACAATGGAATACAATACATTTTATGAATACATTACATCAACTGCGTGCTACGTAGGTCACCCCAATTGCACCGTCACTAGCTCCAGGTCTCCTCGATATCATCCATTTTTATGTACTTGATTGTGAATTGCCCAATTGAGRCTTGTTTTCCAACCATTAACCCAGGCATCCTTAAGCTTTTTGTTGAATATATCTATGGCCTTCTCTTCACTGACGTCCAAGTGCAGGGTTTTTCGAAGGTATCCAATATCTTCCACAGTCCGCAGTTCTGGTATGCCAGCKGATAACATCATTAAAAATAGATTGATTAACAGTGATCCTTTGCGACGGAGAACGACGAATGCCTTCTCGCAAATATGCTTGAAACTAGGAGGAAAAGAAATCATAAGTGTGTTTGAAATTTCTTCAATATAATACCATGGCATAAAACAKAACGGGGGAGAATAGAACGCACGCATGCRACRTCAAATTAGCTTTATTTGTGTGTGMCAAAAYGYTGYMTTTCTTGGGCTTTAGAAACGATTGATTCGCCCTCGAGATGAACTTTATTTCSATGAACAGAGAAGGCTGRGTCTATATAATAGGCTTCTGAAGCTTTTACGTCACCTGCGTGATTTACAGTGCATTGTGGGATTAGTTTCTTGAGAAAACAAAATTAAGGAAATCCGCCATGTTTGTCACAAACATATCTTACAATGCATTGCGTACATGGTATATGACGTAAAAGCTTCAGATGTCTATTCAGTGTGGATATAACAAAACAGAAAATACCAAATAGATAGGCAAAGCAGAGCAAAGAAGACCAACGAAAATTTGAAAAGTGCAGAGCAAGGCAGACAAACCAAAGCAAATTTTATCAGGGCNATTTGCGCTCACTTTAAGAAATCCTACAAATCCGCCATTTTCGTGTCCACCTAAAATGGCGCTTTGGTTCGCTAGGTACGGCGGGTGGTTATGATTCTTTAATACAATTTGTTCATATTTTGTTTTTTTATTCACTCTTTCATTTTCCATTCATTCATTTATGCATTTTACTTTGATTTGTAGAACCAGTTCCTGAGGATGATGAGGAGCCATCGGTTATGTTACCCCCTTGGATGTTGAACCAGGTAGACTTTACAACAAGAAAAAATGAATACATTTGAATTTTGCATTATATTTAATTTAAGAAATTGAATTTTTAATCTTTTTTTTTTGCAATAGAAGACAAAAATATCATCAAACCAGGAAGAAAAGCCAAAAACTAGAGACAATGATTCTGATGATGATGATGATGATGATGATGATGATGATGATGATGATGAAGAAGATGTAAGAGTCAATTAATTCCTGGCCTTTTCCAGCTCCATCTTGAAAGTTAGCCACATCTTTGCATCTAAGTGAGACAGGAGTTAAGCTTGCAATGATTAGATACCCGTGAATAATACTCCATTTTTGAATTCAGAGCAAACAAACTGCTTTTTTATTTGATAGCAGATTTTCTTGCTAAAGGACCTTACCAAACACAAAAGAAAGCACAATAAAATGTCACTATTACAATAGCCGTGAAAATTATGTGCATTTTCTCCGAGTTCGACGAGCCCTGTATTCTCAAAAAACCCAAGGTATGAGCCTTCTGGGAATACAGGGTTAGCCTCAACTCGGGGAAAATGTAAATTGTTAGCACTATTGTACTTACAACATTTTCTCTTCCTTTTGTTTGTGTTTGGTAAGTTCTTTGCGTTAGAGAATCTGTTGTCGAATCAAATAGGGGTTATTCGCATTGAATTTGAAAATGGAGTATTGTCTCAAGCGTGAATATAAGGTACATGTATCTATCACTGCAGACTCAATTCACTTCAATTCAAAGGTCAGCTAACTTTCACGATTGCACTGGCAAATGAAAAAAGGAAATTTGATACAGAGATCATTTTAGTTAGTGATAACTAAGTGATATGTTTTTTTTAACAGAGTATAGAGAATCGTCTACCAATAAGTCATGAAGTGGTCTTGAAGCATGGGTCAAAAACAGTGAGTACTTGTATAATGAMTAAATTAACAAGTAGAGCTCCCAAAACATGATTTGAAAATTTGGTTCAATTGGATGTCTAGGTATCTGCAATCACTCTAGAACCTTCTGGATCAAGACTATTGACTGGCAGCTATGATTATGAGGTACAGATCTTTATGTAGAAGCTATATGTACTAGGGAAAAGGATAGGAGGGATTTAATAATGAATGGAGGGAGAATGGAAGAAAGAGAGGGGAAAATGAAGGGAGGGAAGGGGGATGTGTGAAAGAAAGAAAAGAATGGAGAGAGGGGAAAATGGAGAGGTTAAGGAAGGGAGAGGGAGAAGATGAAAGGAAGAAAGATAGGATGGAAGGGAATTGAAAACTAGGACAAAATTAAGGGAAGAAGAAAAATGTGAGGGAGAGTGGTAAAAAAATAAGGAAGGAAAGAGGAAGTTTGTGAGAAAATGTACTAGTAAGAAATTTAGGAACAAATTGTTCACTTATCATAGANACAGATAAAATCTATACAAAATTTGCTGAGTTGATAAAATTATCCGACCATTCGCAAAACGACGAAATTACTTTGAATTTACTTTGAGATTGGGCTTCCTGTGGCATTACGTCATGYTGGAACGATGTTCGCTTTCTGCACCAGGCCTAATCGGCGTCGAATTTAGCCATACTGAATAACACAACCATTGTTATCAGAAGATTTTTATCATTATGCCAGTAGAGTTTACCATAGAACCTGGCCTTTGCCGTGCTTAAAGGTATCAAAATATTTACGATATCTAGTGGTATACAAGACGCCACTTTGGTCTCAGCGATTACACTATTATCTATAGTGTCCACCTCTTTGAAGGCGATAAAGTTGATGCTTAATTTTCTTGCTCATTATCTATCAATCGAAACATGCATCTAGGTTTAGTCAAACTTTTCATTGTCTTTCGCCAGTATGTTCCCCATGTGACGCCATATCATGCCGTGACGTCATAACGAAACATTGATCTACAACTTCCGTATTATGCGAATTAAGTTATACAGAATTTAAGCTATCTTCGGTACTGCTTGAATTAAAGAGTTACCGTCTATCTTTACAAAACTACGAATCGAGCCTGTTTTCTTGTTAAATAATAATAAGACTGTTTTTAAACAGAGATGGAAGAGTTAACCAGGATTACGACGAGRRCARAAMAATATCAACAAAATCAATGGCAACCTCTGAYATATAATTACAACCTTGATCAACAACAACTGCGTAATTAGCKAAAACAACAATAATAAAATAGTGGTGAAGTTTGTTAWGCACAAACCTGTCCAGTTTTGGTGACCATGATGTTATCGCTATGTCGATCTCCAATACCAAGTACATATGTAGCAACACAATACCCAGCACATGACAATGTGAACTTTCTTGTTACTTCTTCCATTCTACATCACAAAAGATGGTACATTTGAGATTCTGTACTATGAGAGTGTAACGCTTGGTTTCCTCGGAGACGTAAACGTAAGCATAAGCATAAAACTAAGGGCAATACATTGAAAGGAATGATTTCAAGCGTATGACACAAGACATCGACATAAACATAACCGCAAGAATAAGAACTATTACAAGCGGCAATAAAAAAAACAAAGAAACAAAGATGGACATAGTCCCATTTCCTTCTAAATTTCAAAATGAGACTTTTTCATTTTATTTTCCATTGCCAAAAGTAACAGCAAAAATGAAAAGAGCATCTTAAAATTACTAAAAATACGAAGTTTCATGTCATTCCATAAGCTATATGGCAAATATTGGTTTTCGCTTTCCATGCATCTGCTTTGTTTTGCTTTCATTAGTGCAAGACGCACATTTTCATGACAAAATGGTGGAAATTATTGGTAAACTGAATAGTGTGAGCTGTGTCGGTGTTTCTAAAGAAACARTTGTGTAAAAAGATAAGTTTGACACATTAAAAAAGTAGGTTAAACAACTTACTGACGTTTCGGACGTTAATCCTTCGTCGGAGTAATTAAAGTCCGAAACGTCGTTRTTTCACCTWCTTTTTTACKGTGTTAAATTTATCTTTTTACACARCMATTTCCWTSSCAMACTTACTGTTCCTTTTCATTGCATTGTGATAACCAGTCCCARAGGCACGTTTTACCAAAAGCACCCGAAATGGCACCGGACTGCTTTTTCTGGATTTTTGCAAGTGTTTCTGAGTTGTCGACAACTTGAATCAGTCCCACATTGTTGCCAGTACACAAGCATCCATAAGGAATCATTCTGATATAGAAAACATATTGAGTAGCCGTGAATCATTAGCATATGAAAAGGTTACCGTTTTCTGCGCGCGCGTCGAGTTTTTTTCTATTTTCCCGCCTTTTTATCTTAATCAAATATGATGTGATATGCGTGTCAAAGTTTAGTATTTCCTCATCTTTTAATCGGCATCAACTCTTTAAATTTTTCGTCTATATTGACGATAAACCCAATTTTTTTTGCTAACCCTTATGAGAAACTACATATGCACAATATTCCAACTTATTATTTGAAGAATTTTGTGACAAAATTTTTTTTACATCCAATTTCCAAGCAAGCTGAGAAAAAGGCGGGAAAATACTAAAATCTGGACGCGCGCGCGCATTTAGTAATGCCTTCAGGATAGCGTATGAAAACTTATTACTTACTCTAAATCAAGCCCGTTTTGTTTCCAAAGACGGTCCATGACTCTTATGAGCTGGAGTGTCAACATGTCTTGTCGAAGATCTAACATTACAAAGGAAAATATACGATGACATGCAGTGACAATTTATAAATATTGATATTGTCTCTTAAGTCTGCGCTCTAACGCTTAATTGTTTTAGGCCAAGTGTAGAAATTAAAATTTATGTTGGATAAAAGATCAAATCACTCACCATCGCCACTTTTGAAGATAATCTTGACAGGTCCGCCTAATTCGTCAAAGTTATCAAAATTCAACCACAAAGGCTTCATTTTTGAGTCCATGAACTTACACTTGTCAATTCTGAAAATGAGTAATACGATATCAAACGCTAGTTTTCACTCTTACAAAAGTGCAGCCAAAAAACATGAGCTGATAATACGAAAAGGACTTTAATTTTCTTAAAATGGTAACCATTAGTTTCCTTCACGGTTACCTTCGCCATCTCGAAAGGTAGCTGTGCCTTTGCATCGAAGCGAGACGACCGTTGCAATGATAGAAAGCTTCTTTCACACCTACAGACAATTATTCACAGGTATCTATCATTGCACGCTCAACGGTCCTCTCGCATCGATGTAAAGACACGGCTACCTTTCAAGATGGCGCAGGTAACCGTGAAGGAGACTATTACGAGCGCGCAACAAATTTTTTTGTTGTGTTACAAGTTGAATGCAGATTTTCCAGATTTCTATGGATTTTATTCACTGGGTAGCGATTTATCCCGTATATAGTGCTATTTTCCCTTCGAACAATCGTCCCCTGGTTTGTAGTTTAGTACAAAAGCAGAGCTGATATAATAAGGGGCACTTACTTTAATTGTCGTAGTCTAAAGCTTGGGTCAAGAGGTGAAGTAAGCTTTGAAAAGGCATCCATGTATGTTTTCTGTTGTAAAGACTGCCTCATGGCATTCAGCCCTTTCTCCTTGTTCTTACCATCCACATTGCGCAACAAAGTGCTGATCATTTTCAGCTTGCTGAGCGCCTCAACCTAATGACATAAGCACAAGCCTTATTAGGAACAAGGTGTGGCTTAGCAAAGTATAGTTAAGTTAAAAAAGCACGGAGTAATAAGCCAGTTGCAAAGAGTATTCTGTAAGTATGATCACGCTCAGGCATCCCTGAGCCTCGTTTCAATTCTTTAGTGTGAGGTATCCGAACGAAATATCGAATGTAGTCTATTGTTGTCATTCGACCGGGATCCCTGTGCTGTTTAGCATTGGACTTCTCGTTCTTTTGGTACCATATATGGAAACAAAGAAAATGGCCGATTTACACATTGCACATGCAATGTTTCAGCCCTGTTTAAAAATCGAAAAAATCGCCAAAAAACAAGTCTACTTGTACTTCCAAATACATATAAGATTAAGGTAAGTAAAATTACTATATTTTGCGTTGGACTTAGTGGGAAGTGGACAAATAGGAATGTTTTCAACTGACCTGCTTTTGAAGTTTTTTCATGTGTTCTGGAGCACCTCTCAAGTAGGCCTCAAGCATTAAGCCAAACCTAATAGACACTTCAGGGTTGTGCATTTCTGCCTTGAGCAACCAGAACAATATATGCCCTATATTCTGGTTCTTCAAAGCCCGTTTGAGAAGGAATTTGGCTAAATCACAGTCAAGGTAATTCTCATACTTCAGAACCTGCGCAAATAAGCAAACGTTTTAAGACTTATTAAAAGTTGTGCTAAGTTACATGTACCACGAACCTAAATGCCATCATTATTCATTCAAAATATATTTTATCGCAATAGTCTTCTTCRCAGTTTCCGTGCGCCATCTCGAAAAGTAACAATGCCTTTGCATTGATTGCAAGACAGCTGTTGAGGAGGCAATGTTACGTAGATACTGATGAATAATTGTCTGTAGGTGTGACATTGCACACTCAAAGACTGTCTCACATTGCAAATACATAGTCAACTTTCAAGATGAGCCATGAAGGGAGACTATTGGCTAAGTATAATTTGGACTTGAAACAACCTGACCCCCTTTTTTGTCAGTCAGGATTTGCTTTAATAGTTGTTTTTAAAGACTTTTTTTAAAGAATAAGTGTAAGGCTTGTATAAAAAGATAAATTTAACACACCATTAAAAAGTAGGTGAAACAACTTACTGCAATGTTTCCGCCATCAAGATGAAGGATTAAAAATTAACTCAAAGGATTAACGTCCGAAACGTCAGTAATTTGTTTCACTTTCTTTTTTTACGGTGTTAAATTTATCTTTCTACACAACTGTTTCTTGAGAAACACAAGAAACAGCTCACACTAGTTTACTGCTAGTTCCCACCACCTAAGTGTACTGACCTGTACAAGCTGTAGCATGTATTGTTCAAGATCACTGTCACTGTAGAATATAATGAATCAATTTAGCATAAACTTTTCTTTGAGGTTACTATCTAAAACAAATGACCTAATACTACTGAAAAAACAACAGCATTAGGGAAAAGTATTCCAAGTCACCTCATTTTGACTGTAGTCCTTTAATCTACCATTTTATCCACTAAAAGTACAACTGACAAATGGATATACTGGCCCTGACAATGAAGCAAACTTACCACATTTTTTCAATGCATCGAACTGCAAACTCTCTGACTCTCTGATCAGCATAATTGTAGTCAAGTAACTCAAGTGCCATCTCGGGTTCTAAGGGAGTCCAGATTTGTAAAAGAACTTGCATCTGGAAAACAATAACAAAAATATTTAATGTTAGATTGCTCTATGGATGAGGGAGTTTAGCAGGAAAGACAGTAGGAGGCAGAAGAAGGCAGGAGACCAGATGGAATGGCTATAACGAGGGTTATAAATAACGAGGAAGGGATGAAAGAGAGCAGGATCAAGAATAAAAGTGAAGAGTGAATTTGATATATTGTGTTTTATTTTACCTGAGCAACATCCTCCTTACAGTGCCATTTAACACAGCTGAGTAGTTTTCCAAGAGCATATGGATAGTTCTCACGGCATTCAATCCTGTGAAAAACAACGATTGTTACATTTGATAGATGAACACATACTGTCTTGTGTGGAAACAATGGGCCAATTTTATCGGGCCTCTCAACGATAAACTGACTGTTAGCTGGACAAACAAAAGATCTTGAAATTTGCACAGCTACAACAAACTACTGACAACTATATCTATTTATATATTTTCTTAAGGGGGCATTTTCTAAAGCAATGGTTCTAGATTGATATGTTAAGTAAGCATCTGTTTACCTCAATTTCCATACAAATTCTTTGTCATTCTCAAAGATGGGTGAAAGAGGTTCCTTTTGAATGATTTTTTTTAACTTTTCTACTTCGTCTTCACTGAAATATATCTACAAATTTCAAAAATTATATTAGAAAGAATATGAACAATGGAAAAGGTTAGACATCTAGAAACCTGACTGAGGCAAGTTTTTGCAAGGGAAAAATCCAGATCAGTGACATCTACAATAAATTTAATAATTGTATCTCAATGCTTTTTACTTACAAATGATTCTTGTTTTGTGTTCTCAGCAGCAAGTTGAACAATCTAAAACAGAGATTAACCGAATGGTAAATAACTAGTAAAAGGACAGAATATATTATCATAATACTAAAACAACAGCCTTCATGCACTCATCCAGTTTTAAAGTAACATTACGCTTTCTTCATACCATGTCATAAGGCGGATACACGACTGTATTTGAATAACGCTGGAACTCTATCAGCACTGTTGGTGAGGTGGTTGTATTTATATTAGAGACAACTGTCCCAATAGGATTCAGTTTCTCTGGTAATGTTTCTGTGACAGGCCAAGTTGTGAGGTTGACGATTCCTTGTCGAAGATGACCACGGAAATCAAACAAAGGAGTGTTGACCCAGGCCAATGCAATACTCTGAGATTAAAAAATAATATTTCAAACTATCATGGCTGTTTTGGAAAACAAAATATTGGAAAAACATGGAGTTTAACTCAAATTTTAAGGAGTCTTATTTCCAAAATGATTTGAGCTTGACAAAGATAAAATGGAGAAAGGAGAACAGAACAATGAGAAGAATATTACAAGGAGAGGAAGAAGAAGGAGAATAGGATTCAGATAAACAATGACAAAGCAGAACAAAAATACAATGAATATTAAGAATAAGGGTGAGGAGAAAGAGAGGAAACAGAGAAGAACACAAAGAGAAGGGTAATTATCAAAAGGTTGACACAAAAAGCAAGCTGTTAGAGCAAACACAGGAAAACCATGAAATTAAACCAAACTAAATACAGCTCAGATTTGTCAGTATCAAAGAACCAGAATGCAACCAAGATGAATTAAAAATGGATTCAAGTAGATTCATCTTGATTGTAATCTGGTTCATTGATTTGCCTCTAAATAGCTGTTATTGTTAGTACTTAGTTTGGTTTTATTTCATGGTTTTCCTGCGTTTGCTCTACATCAAAATAATTAATATGAAGTTATGAATCCATTCAACCATGCATCAAAACAACTTACTTCTCTTTGCTTTTTCTTTTTACTTGTGTCAATACCATACAGAACCAGACAAAGACGAGCCATTCTTGGAATATCAGATACGTTCAGGTCAAATTCCAGCTGATCATTCCAGACAGGAGAGGGTCCATTCATATCTTTGGTTGCCAGTATGGAAGACAGGTTTTCACTGCCATGATAGATGCCTCCATGTACAGCTACCTAATAAAGTAAAGATTCATTTATTGAAGTTATTTTAAATCATAATAAAACTGCAAATATTTGTCTTTGTTATGCTCAACATTTTGCATAATGTTGAAAGGTACAAATGGCTTTGAAGCAAAGCAACTGGTGAACTTGCAATGATAGTAGCTAAACATTATTTCTTCTTTACAGGAATTTGCCATCGCAAGTAAACCAGCCATTTCATTGAAAGGTACAAATGGCCTTGAAGCAAAGCAACTGGTGAACTTGCAATGATAGTAGCTAAACATTATTTCTTCTTTACAGGAATTTGCCATCGCAAGTAAACCAGCCATTTCA